CCAGAGTTGTTTCTTCAGCGCACCTTCGCCCTGTTTGCATGGGCGTCGGACACGCGTGCAGCAAGCGCAACAGAAAACCACCGAAGCGCGAGAGCATAGGTCCGGATATCGGCCAAGGTCATGCAGGTCACGATGACGTCAGACGGAGTTTGTAAACAGGTCATAACTCGAAGCATGCTAATGTTTACCGACCTGTGCAGCCGGCGCCTGTCAAGCGGATTGGATCACCTGACAAGGAGCCTGATATACCCAACACTAAGCCTGCAATAGTTGATGACGTACCACGGAGGACACCATCTCCAGAAAAGGAGGGCCTGAAAGATGCTACGCATCAGCCACATGAAGAGCCGCGTGAGGTTGGTGAGATGCGGGTGTTCTGAACAGAATGTGGCATCATTTTCCTGCTCTGTAGCACCAATCTGTACAGTGGGCGCAAGCAGCAAGTGTTTCGATATGTTCGCCTTGCATTGCAATGACTAAATGCAAAACAGCGTTTTGCCGATATGCCACTTGAAATAAGAAGAAAATAGATGGTTCTAAAGCAGACCAGACCTTCACATTCATCTCTCCCTTACGTGCTTCTTTCAGTTTCGTCCAGTTCCCCAGTTCCAGATTGACAGAAGCGGCGGAGACTGCCGGGACGCAGACAGGGAGGGTAAGCACAGCCTTTTATGCATTTTTTTTACATCTATGCATAATGGAACTTATTATAGCATGCAGGACAATTGCCCGCTGATGATTATTCGCGCAAAAGTCGATGTGTTATGCGTAAACGCCATTCGTGTCCTTTGGAAGCAATTTACAGACCTTGGGATCGCATTCAAGACAAACAATGGAAGAGTTCAACATCAATAAAGTTCCTTTCACACTTATCGCGAATCTCACTAGTCGTCTGCATACTTGTGAATACATCTCATAAGAACTCTAACCAATGTATGACCCGATGTCCCTGACGCGACTGCAACTGTTGGAGCAGGTCGGAATGTGCCGCGTGGGTCATCCTGTAAGCCCGCTTCATTATTGGAGAAGTATATGATGCTCTATGAACCGAATGTGAGCCGGTGCTTGCCGTGTGAGATGCACGTACTGACTTACACGCTTGATCCATGACGCGTTATCCAGGCATGCTCTCGTCGGACTCCCAGCTAAACTGCTCGTCAGTGGAGTCGTCGCCCGCTCCGCCTTCCCGCACTTGGACACGCAAGCCTTATTTTCTTCAGTTGGGGGAGGGTCAGTCTTGTCCAGACCCATGAAAATTTTGGCCAAATTTCTGTGAAATCTCGGAAGATCTAGTGTAAACCTCTTGGCTTCAGGGAAGGTGTGGAGCGGGGTATGGCCACCTTGCCTCTTCTTCTTGGCAACAAGCCCCACTGCCGAGTCCCATTCGCAGTACTGGAACACCACGGTATCGTTTTCCGCAAGGCAGGTACACGAATACCAACAAAATGAAGTGCCTCCACATGTGATTTCACAACCCGATATGATGCCCATAGACCATATAGTCAAAGATGCCAAAAATGCCAACCCGTTTTAAAAATAATTCTGGCGTTTCCTACCGTATGATGGTAATAATTGCAGGGTATCTTCGCCATATGGTATCTGCGCATTTTCCCACAGACTCCAACATCGATTTACCTCAGACCTGACACTCAATCACACGCGTGCTACAATTTTGGAGTTAGTTTTTTGCCTTGGGGGTCGCCTGAATTTGTTAAAAATACGGTGCGACTAAAACATTGGTTGCATCCCTGTTTGGCCTAAAAATACTGTGTAGTTTTACAGCATTATATTGTGCATATGTCATTGACACCTGAGGTTTCTTCCATTCACAGCCTTAGGACAGCCGGTTGAATGGCTTCAGAAAATGTACCTTTTAAGGTCGCTGACCTAGGGCACGTCAAAATCAGGCCATGAATTCAACAGCGAAGACAATTTCTAGGATATGCTTCAATCTGATGCAACAACGGAGTATTAGACGAAGCAATACATCTCTGAGTTTCTTAGGCAACATAACAATTTAATTAACAAATTCCAATGACCGAGGACCAAGGATGAAAGTCAGACGAGGGTCAAAACCAACCTACTTTAACACCAAAGCTTGCTGTATAGGGCGGTTTTTGTTGCTCATTTTTAATTTGTTGATGACAGGAACTGCGTCATACAGCTGTCATGGACTTCTTATAGGTCAGAATAGGTAACTGACCCAAAACGACCCTGATCAACGTTTTCTTTTCAGGGGCATAATGCACCGCGTAATACTTTACGCTTATTCAACCGCAGAAATCAAAGCAGTCTTGTATGATTTTGGTCCCTATGACCTTCGAGAGGTCAAACAAGATCACTTATCTTGACTGCGCATCAGTGATCTGTTGCTTAGAACAGGTATCTAGGTTCAAGGTGGTTGCAAAAGAAGGTCTGGGAGCACTTTGATACCAATCCAGGCTTTGACATTGTTTGACCTTATTTGACTCGATCGTCATGACCTGGGAACCTCATATTTCGACACTGATGAGTTCACTACAGAGCAATACGCACGGTGAATTTAGCGTCTCTTAGTTTCTGGGATCTCGGGGAGTCAAACTGACTTACAGACGAGCGAAAGGCATTCAACCGGGCGCGTGTTAAAGGAACAAGCAGCCACCTGTTCTCCGGAGTACGCCTCAGCCTGCCCCCCTTGGCGGTTCGAAGCGGGACACTGCCTTGTCGGATCTATCGCTCGTCTCGTTTGACGCTCCCATTCCTTCCGAAAACAGCCCACGGCTCGCTGAACTCTCCACGTATCAACAAGAGATAATAACGTCAGAAACACATCAAAGCTAGAAAGTAAGTGTTGAGGGCATACCAAGTAGAAATTGACAACAATGAATAAATCAATGATTAGACTGCCATTAAAATATGATCCCCTAGTCAGTGAACCTAATCTTAAATTTTTCAAAAAACATACCCTGATTTTTCCAAAGTCATGTCAACGTGGTCAGTTACTTTCTTTAAGGTCCTTTTAAACATCATTTGCCGTATTTGTGCTTCATTTACATTCAAACACACGGTACACTCACAACACCTCGCGGTCATTCTGGTGTCGGTTGCTACGAGCCTGATCAACTAGGGCAAACATACGAGAAGGAACGTTATGATGAAAGATGATGTGAGTGGTGCAAGACATTGGCGGGCGGTGACGGCGTCGCCTCGTTTCAGTGCGTCTTTCCCAGTTTCACTGGCACGAGCGGTACAGCTACGGCCGGGAGAAGACAGGCGGCGTGCAGAACCTGCGCTACAGTACGCCCGCCGCCGCGCCGTGTGGTGTGACTGTGACGTCTCGTGTGTCCGCCCCAGCCCTGCGACCTCGCGACCTCTGGAGCTGCCGCCGGCAGCTGCTGCTTCTGCCGATGCCATGGCTGCAGGCGGCTGTGCCATGCAAAGGCTGTGTGGGTCGCCCGTATGCCTCTCATACAAGCAAACCTGTGGCGTGAAATGTAGATCCAGTTCGAATTATGCACACACACATGTCTACATTAAGGTATATATATATATATATATATATATATATATATATATATATATATATATATGACGTCGATTTCCCTTGGGATCTCAAACTTCTAGACGCCGTATGAAAAGAGCAAACATGTCGTGTTCAAGGTCTTGTGAAAGCATAAAGAACTTGCACCAGATTTTTGACGGTCAAATTTGAGGTCACAAGTGGTTACGAAAGGTAAAAAACGGCTGTTCTGATAGATGCACTTTACAACTTTGCTAAAACGTCAGGACGGATGCTGAGGGCACGAAACTAAGCGTTAGGACCTTAAAAAGTTCATTTCAACCATTTTGTTCGCCCACATGGGCCAGGCCAGACCAGGTCACCGTTCAACATTGGTCTACCAGAAGCCTTCAAGAACGATACCTTTCTTCACAATGAGCTTCTTACTTCTATTTTGTTAGATGCAGCTGTGAGTAAAAGACATTCCAGACATAAAAGTACCATTTGGGGTTGGCCTTGAGTTCATCTGAGGTCAGCTTAGGTCAAATCTGCAATCATCCGGATGAGAGAAAAAATTGAAGTGCTAACTGGGTCCACGTGACCAGGGCAATGTTTTTTCTGTGGTCAAAAATGGTGTATCGTACGTCTTCAGGAACTCGAGATCACATGGCTGTTGCGTGTACTTACACATGGTTCGACGCCGACCGATCTGAGCCCGCTGTCCTGCTCAGGTGGCGCGCCAAGCCCCATGTGGCGCATGCGCAAAGGTTATTGGTGAAGTGACCAGGCACACAGACCTCTGTCTGCTACCAAAGAGCGGTCAGCTGGAGCACGTGCTATAAGGAGCTTTCTAAGTGATGACAAGGTATGAACCAGCGCTACATTAAATTCACGGTTTGATGACTCCTTTGCATCAATGCACTTGTGACCGCGGCTCGTCATGCCTATGCATACCAAATTACTTCATGCTGTTTTCTTCCACCTCAAAATCTAAAGAAAGATTAGCCGAGTAATCGTAGTAACTGCGTTCAACGAAAGCAGAATAAGTCTCCTGGCATCGTCTACATCTTCATCCTGAGGGCGTGGTGATTTAAAAGTACTGACCAACTGGAGGAGGCAACTGCCGGAGGCGTCAAGCCGGTCACCAAGCATTATCAGGGGCAGCAAAATAAGGACATATTGAGAACCCAATTTCGACTTCAGCATGAACGTGCAAAGCAGCATGGCGTGGTACCCAGTCACACTCTCAAAACAGTCAAAAATAAACATAACATCCAAAATCGAATTTCACGCCACAGGTTAGCCTAGCGCGGTACAGCAACGTAAAAAAAACATCAGGTATCTTACGGATGTCATTAGTGACTGCTTGAGACTGTTCGCCTTTGCAGTGTGGCCCCGTGGATTTGCACCGAGCCGTCCTGTGTCCGACCAGCATCACCGCGTCACACGCGGTACACAACGGTACACCGACAAGCGAGACTCAGTACCCGCACGACACGGTACGGCACCGTACACCGGCAGGCGAGAGATGTTACCGGCACAGCATGGTGTACGCACAGAGGGCATACCCTGTACCCGCACCATGCATGCTACGGCATGGAATACAAAGACAGGCCGTGCCCCGTACCCCGTGCCCTCGCACTGCAGGGCTACAGCATGGTGCGCAGACGGATGAGGACCCTTCACTCGCGGAGTAAATGTGTGATAGCTAGGCGATGTACCCGCATGGCCGCCGCTGCGGGGCAGGGGCTGTCAGCTGCAGGTCTCCGCTGAAGGGCAGGGCTGTCAGCTGCAGGTTTCCGCTGCGGGGCAGGGCCGTCAGCTGCAGGCCTCCGCTGCGGGGCAGGGCCGTCAGCTGCAGGCCTCCGCTGCGGGGCAGGGCCGTCAGCAGCAGGCCTCCGCTGCGGGGCAGGGCCGTCAGCTGCAGGCCTCCGCTGCGGGGCAGGGCTGTCAGCTGCAGGCCTCCGCTGCGGAGCAGGGCTGTCAGCTGCAGGCCTCCGCTGCGGGGCAGGGCCGTCAGCTGCAGGCCTTCGCTGCGGGGCAGGGCTGTCAGCTGCAGGCCTCCGCTGCGGGGCAGGGCTGTCAGCTGCAGGCCTCCGCTGCGGGGCAGGGCTGTCAGCTGCAGGCCTCAGCTGCGGGGCAGGGCCGTCAGCTGCAGGCCTCCGCTGCGGGGCAGAGCTGTCAGCTGCAGGTCACAAACACAGACCAGTAATGTCCGGAGTTGGTGTCCAGTCGTTCTCAGCACCTCTGGGCTTCTACGGGTGCAACGCGAAGGGAATGGCTCCTGTCTGACCAAACCACCCAGCCACGGCTCGTGGCCAACGCCGTTGGCAACCGCGATACGCGCAACGCGACTCGGATCCCGCTGTCGTGATGCACGTGGTGTGACTCGGACATTCATGCGTGATGCGCGCTTTTTGACTCAGACCTTGCGTTCATGACATGCGTGCCTTGACTCGGACCTCGCATTCGCGGAGGGCGTGACTTGATTCGGCCTTGCCTCCTTGACACGCGTAGTTGACTTTGACCTGCCATTCCTGATATCCGTGGTTTGACTTTCAGATTGCTTCCGTTATACGTGCTGTTTGATTCGGACTTAGAGTTCATGATACGCGTGGTCTGACTCGGACCTTGCATTTGACATGCGCAAGGTTCGGCTCAGGCCTTGCCCCCTGTTACCGTGCCCATCACGTCAATCATATTTCGGCCCGTTCCCATCGAACTCCGAGACTAAGTGTTGCGCTAGATGGAAAACTAAGCTGTTCAGATTCCAAGGGTGCAATGAGCCGGGAGAAAATAATTCACATTCAGTTGTCAGTGCCCTTTTTGAGGCTTGTGTGACTCGCGACACATTATTTGCACGTCATCTAGAAATTGAAATCAGCATATACGTTGCCCACGAAAATAGCAATCGGAGAGGCAGTGCGCCACCAGTGGACATTGACAGCCTGTCTCGAACAACTCTAACTTTGTGTCTGAGTAGCATTTCTGCACGTCACAAGGCATATCAAAGCCTTAGAGGCGTAAGAGTGATATCTACGCCCTCAGTGATACCGAGCCTTAGCGGCTGGGGCGTTCAATAATGTGATGGGTCATCGGGGTGACACGTATGGAAGCGACATTACATTGCTGGCCAAATGCTTATCTGCCATGGCGTGTGAAAATGTTGAAATCTGGTCGATCCAGAGGCGCGGTTGAAGCAGCTCGGGCGGCTCTGTCTCCTGCCTCCAGAGAAGCAGAACTATGGACTTGACCTATGTGTGAACTATGTGACTTAACCATATTAACCATTAACCATGGGTAGTTAGAAATTGTGGTGTGAAAGTGCAGTAGAGGCTTAACTGTTGTGGCACTTCCCTGCAGCCAATCGTCGTAAGAGCCATCCATGGCAACTCAACATACCTTGTGCAACACGGGAAACAATTGCTACAGCCATCAAATGTCTCTGGAAGAAGACTCTCATATATGTGCGTTCTACCTCCTACCCTGCATTAAATGACATGGCGGCTGTTGCGAATCTATGATGTTCGTACGTCACAAACACGCCCTGCTTTTCAGCATAACTTTGCTCAGTCAAGCGACCTGGAAGCGAAGCCCCAGCACATGTCCGTCCGCGGTCTTCCGTTCGCCAGCGGCCGGTCGTTCCTAAGCCTCATCTGTTCCACCGGATGACGCGTGCCGCATAACCATCCGTGCCTCGAATTCGCACGCCTCTGTCCGGGCTAGACCGTGCAGTGCAGAGGCGAGTGAAGATGCGATGGACTTCGAAGTTTCCTGCTGAGCAGCCCATTGCACACGTATGCAATCACACAGATACACGTGTGCAATGACACACATACACGTGTGCAATGGCACACATACACGTGTGCAATTACACATACACGTATGCAATCACACAGATACACGTGTGCAATGCACACATACACGTGTGCAATCACACATGAACATGTGCGCAATCACACACATACACCTGTGCAATCACTCACATACACGTGTACAATCACACACATACACATGTGGAATCATGGGTATGCGGTGCTGGTTAATGCGAGTGGTCACTCAATGGCTGACTGTGTGTGAAGTGTTAAGTCTGGACTAAGGCATAATGCTTAAAAGGTTTACGGTGTTTGAAAGGCTGGCAGTATGCACATGTAGACAGAACTCATCGAGGCTACCACTAAACGACGTCCCATGAATGCGAGACGTGTATCACACTGAGATATGGTTGATATAAACATCGCAACACAACCGTACGGTAAGGATCAGCGGTTGTGCACAGCAAACTACATGAAAACAGATTGGGGATGAACGAAAATGTCATGCAAAGGCAGCATGTCGAAAGAACATCACGGAAGATGGCATGGGATGAGTTCGATGGCAATGCCCTCACGACGCGCAGAACGCTACGGCAGCTGAAAAACTGAGCCGAGTTTATCGTCTGAGCACAGCAGCTGTCTGGAACAACGCGGAGCGCAGCGACCACTAGGGGACAAACACGCCTATGTCACGCATGACGGACCAGCGACGAAAATATCTGCTGCAGCCGCCCTCGAGCGCCCCCGGGCGGTCACGTGACCTCTCGCACGTCCGTTCCTGCGGAGGAAAGGCGAGCCGTGCCTCGCCCTCGGACGATCACGTGACCTCTCGCACGTCCGTCCGCGGAGGAAAGGCGAGCCGCCCTCGCCCTCGGGCGGTCACGTGACCTCTCGCACGTCCGCACTACGGAGGAAAGGCGAGCCGCGCTCGTCCTCGGGCAGCCGCATGACGCGCATCCATCGCACGTCCACGCAGTGGCGGCGGGGAAGCCGAAGGTCGCCCTTCTGCGACTGAGAGGACAAGCCGGTGCAGCGGCCGCTGTCAGTCCAGCGAGGTGACGCTGCGCAGGGCAGGGTGCCGCAGACGGAGGCGGCGACCTCACCCACACTGACCAAGGGACGCCTGTGGACTGGGCGCCGCCGGTTGTGACCTTGGTTGCGGGATAAAGACACCGGTGGACCATCACACTAGCTGACACCGGCGGTTCTCTCACGACCTGGCCGGGTAAGGGCGATACAGTAAAACAAACGGAACGGTAACGCTTTGCTTTGTCAATCTCCTGGCAAACGTAGTGAAAAGGAAGGCAGACACGCCGGCCATCTGGCCGTAAAATAAACCGCGAAGTAGCGACGGCTTGAGTGTTAGGAAGAGGGAGGGGAATGTGGCACAGACAGTCAGGCATCGAACAACGGCCTTTGACAAGGCCTGCGGCAAATATCCCACGTCCGCACAACGCACGCAATCGGCATATGATGCATGTCAGTGGTCGGCAGATTTCAGAAACAGCAGCAGCCAGCCCGGCCTGCAGCCTCCATGCACGTCAGGCACCAGTGGGCTGTGTCAGCCTGCCGGCGGCCAGAGCCCCGAGAGGCCCTGGTCTCGGTGCGCCCGCGGCCCGCCGGAAGCACGCACCGGTGATGGGCCGGCCGTGGACGTCGACGCCCGCACCATGACGCGCACAGGCGTGTACAGATTGTGTAGCACGGCCAGGTGACTGAAACAGCCGGGCAGGCGAGGTCAGTCGTGCCTGTAGGGGTGAACCACAAGGTCTAGAGCAAGGTCAGCCACAGCCGTGCAGAAGAAGCACAATAATGCTGAGCAAAACGACGGCACATAATAGGCAATGATCCTTCTCGTACGAGTTGTTGTACTTCAGACGTAGGGGCTGGACGTCTGGTGAGATAACTGTCACTGCCTCGGTTCTCACTGATGTATGGTGGATTCGAAGGCTCAAAACAGCACCTCAGACTCTTTTCGTCCACACGTGTGAATATGAGCCGGCCACGAGCCTGTTATACGCCAGGTTTGATTTTTAGATCACTGAGGACCAAGCAAAGTGACACCTAATGAGAAGTGGGCAACGACATTAAGTATTTGAAGTGTCATGCGTATGCACGGAGTCAATAGCTTGAGCCCATGACATCTTTCCGCTTCACTGTACGAAACTGACGAGTGGTTGAGTTGGTCTGGTGGCTCTGATTCCGCAACGTGCTTACACTCAGATATCGACATCGAACGCCGACACTGTCGTTCAAGTCTGTCTATACGGCCATGAAACCTGCACGACGGCATGGAGAACATGAGCCCGTGGGAAGCTCCAGCACTAAAGTCCGGAAGTCTGAGATGGTACAGCACTCGTGCAATGTAAGGCATGGCAAGTGTTAAAGGGAATTAAGATGACCTCCTTACAATGATTATATGTCATATTCGTTAAGTGAGTTGTGTTCTGGTGAATTTTTGGTCACGGACCCTGCTCACAGTCAAAAATTCAAATACGATTTATCTGACTCTGATGATTCATATTTGAATTTTTGACTGTGAGCAAGGTCCGTTACACAAAATTCATTAAAAATGTAACTTATTTAATGGATATCACGTGTACACTCCTTGTAAGGTCATCTTAATTCCCTTTTAACAATTGGTGAAAACAGTCTAATTACCGAAAGATCTAAATGAACACACCACTGCCTTCTGCCCCGATCAGATGCGGCTCCTTACTCGGCCGGGCGGCGAACTTCCGCCCGGCTCGCGGTGGGAGACTCATAACCAATACCGATGCAGAACCGGCGCGGCGGAAAGAACTGCCGATGCGCCCGCCCCGGCGTACGCACCTGTGCTCGTCAGATCCGACGGAAGGTGTGGGTGTCACTGGCCGTGTCGGTGCCCTCCCCGCGGCGGCAACGGCGCGCACTGGTCAGTCACTCACCACCATCACCTGCCGCTTGTGGTGGCGGCGGATCCGTATGCCTACCGCAGGCCAGGATGCGACGCTGTGGTACTCGTACACTGGCTTCCACCGGCTACGTGACAGCGAATGGCCAGGTCATAACGTGTTGTCGATGAAAGGCCTTATTTGATCCCCGTCACGCTTGAAATACGTCCCTCTTCACATGACAGCGCGGAGCTTCAGAACGATGGCCATGTGTTGAATGGAACGCAGTGACACACCTCCCACCCTTTCACCCTGCAGTCATGTTTCGCGTCACGAAAACACCAGCGTCACGTCGACTGCGCGACAGCAGGCAGTAGGCGGTCCTGCGCGGTTGGAGCCAGCGGCGCGAACAGCTTTTGACCACCGGTGTTGACGACGTGAAGGCGAAACACGAGAGGTGATGACGCGATCGAGTGCCCTGTGCCAGGGCCATTACCGACGTCTCTGCTGCAGCCACTCACATAGATGTTTGGCGTTGGAGAGAAACGTTGAGTGACATTTGGCCTCGGCTGCGGCGGCGGCCACCAGTCTCTGTCTGGGCGGCGGCGGCGTCTCGTCGTCGCTGTCGGGCAGTGTCAGGTCGACGCACGTCGGCTCCTTGTGCTTCTTCCCCGGGGAGCCCTCCTTCGCCTCCGTTATTTTCACCAGGCCTGCCCACGAGGGAGCTAGTGTTCCAGCTCAGGTGAACGCCGCCCCACTAATACGCGCACGTTTATACATACAAGTCGATCTGAAGTCAACATTGAGTACTAGAGGTGGGTAATGCAGGCAGTGTCTCATTGATCAGGCATCAGTGATAAAAAATCGGTGAATGGTGCAGCAAACTATTGCGCGATTCAGGGAAGTTCTCGTCGCGTGGCAACACAAAATGCCACATACATCGGCTCTATACACGTCGGAAAGAGCCAGGTCTGGGCCAGGCATAGTCAGTTTGCGCCGTTGCTAAGGCACAAGATAGCTGCGAAGCAGCGCTGTCACCGTCCCCATACCGTCCTGACGCAATCACTCACGTTACGCCCGCGGAGAGCTCAACATGACAAGGTCGTAGTGCTGGACACAAATAACGCTTGTGTTCATCGACAGCTCAGGTAACGGAAACAAGAAACACGATGGCCCCACACGTACATTGTGTCTGATTGAAAATATTGCGTGTGGCTGATTGGCACATGTTACACAAGATGCTAATGAGCTGTTAGCTAAGTCAGCTCTGTTACCTTACACGATATGCTAAGCTTGGGTTCAATGTCGTTTGCTAATTAGTCGTTAGTCTTGCGCATCACGATCGGAAAATGACCCATAAACGCAGCGGCCCGAGCCGATTTACCATACAACACCAGTACGCCCATCACTCCCCCAAGGTCTTATAATAGAAAACAGAGCTTGGACCCGAGCTCTCCAGAGCTAAAGCCCGAGCTCATGCCATCCGAGATCCCCACTCACCAGATCTGGGATCCTCTTCCAGCGTCAGTATTGTGGGCTGGGGCTGGAGCCAGGCAGCTCCCTGAAACCGATGGTCAGTCAGGTGACCCGCAGACCGCAGGGTCACATTCACGGGCTCTTGAACCACACGGCCACACTCGCGGGCCCCTGAACCGCAGGGTCACACTCGCGGGCCCCTGAACCGCAGGGTCACACTCGCGGGCCCCTGAACCACAGGGTCACACTCGCGGGCCCCTGAACCGCAGGGCCACACTCGCGGGCCCCTGAACCACAGGGTCACACTCGCGGGCCCCTGAACCGCAGGGCCACACTCGCGGGCCCCTGAACCACAGGGTCACACTCGCGGGCCCCTGAACCGCAGGGCCACACTCGCGGGCCCCTGAACCGCAGGGTCACACTCGCGGGCCCCTGAACCGCAGGGCCACACTCGCGGGCCCCTGAACCACAGGGTCACACTCGCGGGCCCCTGAACCGCAGGGTCACACTTCCCGACCCACGGACCGCAGGATCATATTCACGGGCCCATGAACCACAGGGTCACATTCCCGAAGCCACGGATTGCAGGGCACGGATTGCAGCACTCCTGGACCCCAGGACACGGTACGTCCGTGAGGCCACACTCCCTGGGCACCGAACACGGCATGTCCGGCGGCGGCCCACCCAGGTCACCGGACAGAGCGGCACTTAGGTCGACGACACGCAATCTGAACGACACTTGACACTGACGACGGCCGGCGGCCGACGACATTCCCAGAGAAGCGGCCCAGTGAGGTCAGCTATTGCTAGAACGGTCAGAGTGAATACCTAATCTTTCCATCGCCTCCAGGGAGTCTTGTTTTACGTTGCGTTACAACTTGCAGGATGCTTGCACATTGGCTATGTGCAGGATGAGCGCAGATTACCAGCACTGACCACTGCGTCAGCCGCGGCCGTCCGGCCCTGCCACGCAGCCGACACACCTTGGGCTTTTTCTCCTTGACCTCTTTGGTGAGCTCGCGCCACGAGCCGTCCTGGTGCAGCGTCACGTCTACACACGAGCCGCTCGTCTTCTTCAGCACCTCGGCGAAGTAACCTGCGGTGGCGGTGCACACCGGCGGCCGGCTGTAGCCCGATGGCGGGATGTGGTGTCGCTGTGCGTTGTCACCCAGTGAGGTCCCAGTGGAGAGCAGCTTCTGCTTTAGTTGAAGTGTGAAATATGCTGTTCCTGTTGATAATGCCGGGCAACGCAAGACTACCGGTGACAGCAGCGACAACAAGCATCGGTTCGCTTCGGCGGCACCATCTGTGATCATTGCTTTCATCGTGGTGAATTTTTCAACATCCTCACCTATCAATGTTTGCATTTACCACTGGAAAGTCACCCACCGCCAGCCTGGAGTCGAGTACCGGTACTCAGTACCTCGCACACCGCACCCGCCCACGAAGGGCTCCCATGGAGCTTCTCTGAAGAGGACTTACCCATCGATAACCAGGCTGGAGTAGGGTGCCGACTTGT